ACCCCACATAACGACCCGGTACAAGACAGGCTCGGGCCATTACCCAGCTGTAGGCTTCTGGAAACCGGGTCCAGTGTCCCATTTTCCTTCCAAACAAAAATTCAATTCATAGGAAGGCGCGGCATCCTTCTCGATAGGCTAATCCATCTAGATGCTCCCGGCCAATCCAATAGCGAAAACCTATCTCCTACTGACTGACTGTAAAACAATATCAATAAAATCACTCCCAGTCCACCTCCAATCTAGACCTACTGACTGACTGTAAAACAATATCAATAAAATCACTCCCAGTCCACCTCCAATCTAGACTGGCCAGATCAGCCAGCAAATTCTTCAGACAAGAATGCATCAACTTACAGCAAGCACGAGCCTAAAACTCGACCCTACAACCTTTCCATCATGGTAAACCAAGAGAACCATTGAATCAATAAAGCCATTTGGCAATGCAGAGACCACCTTCCGGACCAATAGATGCCAAAAAATATCTTTGAGTCATGTGTTTGCGAAACCATAACAGGCCTCTTCCATCCTTCCGCTGGGAGCGCCTCCAATCAACCAGAACTAATAGTCTGATGGAGTCCAGTATACATTGTCTGTATTGCTGAAAGGACCACATCTCGTTTCTAAATATTTTAGCGTTCCGTGTTTTCCACAGGGTGTGCATTATGAGACCCCTGCACACCAAGGCCATATAAGACCAAGTATCTCTCCACTGTGCCCCCGGGGGGAGGATAGCCGACACTATCCAATCATCCGTCCATTCCCACTCCTTACCTCCCCCCTCCTCCCAGTGGAGCTTCCACCAGCACCACACTTCCCTTGATAGCGGGCACTCAAGCCAAATGTGATCCGCAGTTTCCCACCCCCAACGGCAGCGATGACAACATTGACTCAACTCCATGCCTCTCTGACTCAACCACACTGCCGACGGGATTATCCCCAGCGATTGGGCCCACATTAGACTGGCCTGTTTCTGTGACGGAATCCTTTTGAGTACCTTCCATAAAGCTATAAACTCTGGAGGGGATTTGTCATGCCCTCGCCATTTCTAAAAGCGAAGAGTAGCTATCTCCCTTGGTAGCCTTTTCTTTTTTCTGCATTGAGTAACCCCTACTCTGGGGTAGTAGAAAAACAATGGCGTTGCCTTCCCCTCAGCGTTCGTCCACCCGAGTTGGACAGGTTCCACCCTAAAATCTTCTGCAAACCCATCCAGTAAGATGTGTTGAGTATTATTTTGTTCCCGCCGTTCCCAGACCCGGACTTCCCGAAGGCCTACGGTAGAGTCCAGAGAAATTTCCTTCTCAGAATCCCTGGACAGCAAAACGCCATTTTTAGTCTTACTACCCACCCTCCATTGTTGTAACTTCATACCAACCGGTAAGTCTGGGCCAAGTACTCTTAATATAAAACTCGAGTTGTCTGGGTGTACTACCCAAGTATATATCCCATGTTCTAAGGAGACCATCAACAAATCTTGCCATCGCCGTGGAATTGCCGTCAGAAGAGCAGCATAGTGTATTTCCACGTTATGAAGCCTGGGTAGTTTTTTCCTCAGGACCTCAAGAGAAATCCAAGTCTGTCTTGCACTATCCCAAATATGTTTTATCTGGAACACTCCTTTTTCAATCCAAGATCGGGCAAAACTCCCAGACCTTTGACCCAACTCAAAGGGCAAACCAGTCTCCCTCTTAATTAATTCATTATCAAACAAACACTGGTTTCCCACCTCTATCCTTGTCTGAGGGTCACATAGCTGCATCGGCTTAACTTTTCTCCATGCCGCAAGAATGCCTGACCAGATTCTAGAGTGGGTCCTTCTTTTAGAGAATTTGGTAAGCACTAAACAAGACCAGACATCCACTCCCTCTGTTAAAGAACAGTCCCTCTTCAGAATATATTCCGCAAGCAGCACCCATAATTTTTTCTCCTTCAGAAAACAGGCTTTAATAATTCATTTGAGCAGCAGCCCCACGTTTTGGTCCATTGGGTCCAGGATACCCAAGCCCCCCTGGTCTCTCGGCTGACAGACCAAGTCCCAAGCAATTTTATAAATGAAATTCTGATCTTCTGACGAGGAGGGCTTCCAAAGATATTGGGCTGCCACCCTCTTGATGTGAACATAAGCTCTATTCCCCAAAGAGTGAACAGAGAGGGGAAACCATAAAATTGAAAATCCTGCCGAAGAAAGAACCAAGGCCCGGCCGAATGTCGACAGCTTGTGATTTCGTAACCATCCCAAAATTTTGGAGCAAACCTTCTCTTTTAACACTTTGTCTTGTTCCGAAGAACAATTAGACAAGGACGCCTGTACCCCCAAAAGGCCCTCAGAACTCCCCAGAGGTACCTCCCTCAGACCCCATTTCACACCTAGAATGAAGGGGGAGGGGAGTAAAAACACAGACTTATCCCAGTTGATAGATGCCTCAGAAAGATCACAATAACTATCCAGTACCATCCTTAATTCTAACAAGGACATCGGAGAGTTCTCACATGCGATCGTGAGGTCATCCGCCATCGCCCCTCCCTTCCAATGAATGGAGGGGGGAAGTTGAAGCCCCTTTATGCTTGTGTTATACCTTATATTGTCCAACAGAATCTCCAATTGGAGAACAAAGAGCCGAGGAGCCAGCGGGCATCCTTGACGCAAGGACCCCGTGAGTTTAAACGGTTCGGACAATCTACCATTTACTAGGACTACCGAAGAGGCCCCCTAAATACATAGCTTCCACACACCTTATAAATTGAGGACCGAACCCCATGTGTCTCAGGGTAGTGAAGACAAAACGCCAGCCTACCTTGTCATAGGCCTTCTCCATGTCAAGGAGAAGGACCGCCACTTCCTTTTTTTCCACTGATATGATTTCCAGAGCCTGAAGGGTCGACATAATATTATCAAATATAGAACGACCCTTCACAAAGGCACCTTGTTCTTGTCCGACCAACTCAGGGAGGAATTCTGACAATCTGGAGGCCTGGGCCTTAGCCAAAATCTTATAGGCCACATTCAGAACCGAAATTGGCCTGTAGTTCCTCACATCTGACTTATTTCATTTCTTATATAAGAAAGAGATGTAGCCCATTAGGAAACCAGCCGGCAGCGACCCCACCGTTCTTATATTATTATAAATTTTAGTCAAAAAAAGGGTCAAATACGTCCCAACATTCCACGTATAATTCCACCGTCAGGCCATCTAAGCCCGGACACTTCCCATGTGCCATCTGTCTTGCCGCCTTGCCCAATTCTTCCATCGAGAACGGTTCCTCTAGAGCTACCCGCATCTGCTCAGACAATTTGATATGAGATCTCTCCCAAAAAGAGTTATCCATCGAGAGGTCCGTGTGGCATGTATCGTATGGTCTTCTTGAAGTGACAATGTCACTAAAATACTCAAAGGCAAAAGAACACTTGGTCGCAGTGTCCGTAGACAGAGGAGAGTTTATTGCAAATGGGTGTGCAAGCTCTCTAATTAACGATTTAGATTGTCTAAGAATTAATGACCGAAAAGAAATTTTAGTCATCCTATCATACCCAATCACCCCCCTCATTTTCAACCAATCTAGCCATTCTATCTGCTTTCTTACTTCTAATTTTTCTAATTTCCCAATAGCCTTCCTTCTCTTTTCCGACCAATAAAAATCTGAAAATGGGTCCCCACCCATCCTCTCTTCTGCTAGGATTATCTCCTTTGTTAGTTGTCTTTCCTCCCATTGACGTGCAGCTGCAGTCATTCGTGAAATGTTGATTAAAGCAGATCTGATTATACTGATACCTCCCTCTGCCCATTCACCCAGCACCGAAAATAAGTCTGATACCTTCTCCCAACACTGCATTTGGTTTATAATCCATTCTTTGACCCCTACCTCTTTCAAAAGATTAACATTGAGCCTAAAGGGGGGTCTTTCCTTCTGGATTATATCAAAAGCTACCACATCCATGAGGACAGGATAGTGGTCCGAGAGAGAGGCAAACTGGACATCAGCCCAGCAAAACCTATCCCACGGAGCACCCCGTGCCAGTAGATAATCCAAGCGACTTCTCGGAGGCTGAGCTTTCTTGGAGTGTCGCGGACCAAACCAAGAGAATCCGTTGTCATCCGGGTTAAATGTCCTATATACATCCCACAGAGCCTGTGAAACCAAAAATTCTGAGAGCATCTCAGCATCTGCTCTCACTGGATGGTGACTCAAGGAATCTAGCCTAGGGATCAAATTGTATTCAGGTCCCCGAATAAAACGAGGTTTTCTGTATCAGGTATGTAATTAGGGAGGTTAGCCAAGAAATCGACTCTCTGATTCAACTCCACAGGGGCATAAACTGACATGACCACCCACTCTTTATTTCCTAACTGGAATTTTAACCAGGTTGATCGTCCTTCTGGATCAATGTAAGAGTCAATCTCTATTATATTAAGATTCTTATCGATTAAGATGGCCACCCCCCCACAGGTCCCCTTTGCAGGAGACCAAACCCGAGGTCCATCCCAAGAGCCAGCAGCTTCTCTGATTTTTTCGTCATTCAACTTAGTCTCCTGCAACTCAATTATCTGAACGTTTTTCCTATGAATCCAAGCTCTGAGTCTCGATCTTTTAAATCTACGAGTGGTTTCCCCTAGGCCACGTATATTCCAAGAGGCTATTCGTAGCATAGGTGGCAGGACCATCAGTCCTGCAGCCACCGTGATGTTGGATCTGGCAAGAAAGAGAGTGGGGGACTAGGTGGGAGTTCCCAGACTCCCGCCCCTTGAAAGCACTACGGGCTAAGGTCAACATCGAGTTAATGTATTCGTTTGTGAGCTTGTCTTGTAGCCCGACCTGCACCACCCAATCAACAATCAAGGAGCCCTGCCTCCCTGCCGGAAGCGGGAGCGACTCCCCTTTATTAGACTGATTTGACAACAGATCCTGCAAGGCACTCCATCTCTCAAAAGAATCTGTGATAGTAACAAGTCCCACTAAAACAAAGTAAAAAACAACTGGCGGACCCGCTTGTACCAGAGACACGTATCGGCTAGGCTTCATTATGGGGAGAGCCGCCACCGAACCAGTATGATGTAGAACATGCCGTTTTGTCAGTTCCGCTACCTCGATATCTGATGGAGCTTCTGTAACCGGGATCGCCAGGATTTTGGCTACTTCATTAATGGATAATCTAGTAAGAACCATTGTATCCACTGCAGATACCTCCGAACAAATCAGAGGAATAAGAAATTGCTTAATCATTCCTTTGATCTTGTCCTGTTTAGTGAGGGTTCGCATCAGGCCTCCCAGAGAAAGCTCCCTGCGCGCAGCCCGAAGGCATTGACTACGTTTCTGACGCACCATACCCCCCTTTACCTCCAGCTCCGGGGAGACTTCAAACAGTTCATCCTCTATGGTTCCTCTCCCCGTAGAATCGTTTCTTTTGGCCTTTTTAGAAGGGGAACCCCCAGGAGTCCCAATCTCCTTCAGGACAGGACATCTCGATTTACCTGTGAACAGTAGTGAATCCTTGTCTTCCTTCCCTACAGTGGGACTCTTTTCCCCATCCACCCCATCAAACATGTCATTATAATAAACTTTAGAACTGCCCAACCGTGCAACATGCGTCAGTGTTCTCCTAGAGTTCAGGATAGGTGAGCCTTCAAAGGAGGGCCCAGGATTCCTTTCTGAGTGTTCCCCCTGCATGGTCTCCCCCACTATTCCTAGAATGTCTTCTTCATCCTCTTCTTCCTCCCCTCCCTCCTTCTCATTCTCATCTTCTTCCTCCGACTCAAGTACAGCCCCTCTCCACCCCTCTTCCTCTCCTATTTCCTCGTCCTCTTCCCTCTCCACTCCACTCACTACCTCCTCATGGCCTGAGGAATCCTTGACCCTCATAATCTTCCTTACCAACATTTCTTCGTTCGGATCCGACTGCTCCCCCTCACCTTCTTCACTGAGATCTAACTCTGAGTAAACTTCCTTCTCCTTAATCCCAGCCCATCCTCCCAACCCATCCCCCGTGCTGCATTTCCCTTCATTTCCCTTCACCGAATCCTCGTCCCCCTGTTCCATGCCCACCCTATCCCGTTTCTGTGTCTCCTCGCTCACCTCCCATTGCCCCCCGTCAACCCCTTCCACCTTCCCAAATTCCACAACCTTTTCCACTACTACAATCAATTCCTCCTTATCCCCCCTAGCCATCCCCTCCCCACCCTGATCCGAATCCTTTATTTCAGAGTCTTCTCTCTCCCCAACCCCTTCTCCTTCCACATCTCCATCGACCAAATCATCGACTAACAATTCCCCCAGCCCCTTTTCCTCTTCCACCTCCCTTCCCGGACCAGGTACCATATCCACCTCCATGTCTACTATCCCTTTATGCTGTGGAAGATCTCCTTTCAAGATCTCTGCATAAGAGGGTTTGGTTTGTTCTTTCCAGACCACTATCTCTTTCCCAAACGAATCTTGCTTCTGCCCTGAGGGAGCGTCTGCACCGGCCGTCTTGTTTTGAGGCCCCCCGGAACCCAGGGGGACATGCTCCTTGTTCATTCCTCCATTCTCACCGCTCCCCCCATTGTCCTTCCCCTTGCCCTTCTCTTTTGTCTTTGCACCCTTATCCAGGTTAATCGTTGACTTCCCCCGGTTATCAGCCTCCTTCCCTTTCTGTTTTGGATGGCCCTCCTCCTAACGAGGCCTGGCCGGACAATCCTGATCCCCCTCGTAATGGTAAAAGCGGCGACAATCAGCACACCAGGGGGTCTCCACTCCAACCACTTCAATCTCAACAACGCCCTGGTCTGCCATATCCACTACTAACTAACATTTAAACCGAAACCTCGCAGACGATGCCAAATCAAAACGAACGTTATTAAGCTCGGGTGATATTGGATCTTTGAAAACGGGATACGTTTTCAAAATAGGACCAAGGGCATCCTCTACAACCGTTTGGAGTTGAGGTAAGGCCAAAACTGGGACATTAAGCATCTGATCCAAAAGAACTTGAAGCGCATCGCCTCTCTCCAGTCCTGTAATTGGATCTCGTTCATCCATTTTGCTCATCTTCAGACTCTCGGGGTTCAACCTCCTACCGAGGGTTCAACCTCCTAATGAGTCGGTGGAAGTCCGACGAAACAGTCTGGCACAATTGTGCCACTTCTCTCTCTCTCTCTCTCTCTCTCTCTCTCTCTCTCTCTCTCTCTCTCTCTCTCTCTCTCTCTCTCTCTCTCTCTCTCTCTCTCT